ATCAAAGCCAACCTAATTGTTGTTGCAGAATATTTCTGCCTCACTAGAAGCTTTAGTAGTGAAGCAGATAATGAATGTACATACAAGAGCAAGAGAGAACATGCTTCTAGTGCTTCTGGTAAAGTAGCAACTAGTATGTCAAGTGATGATGAGTCTCAATGTTCGCAAATGAGTGAGTATTTTGCAATTGAAGGTATTGAAGCTGTAGACACTTCACTGCAAGTTCAAGCATGCATAAGAGAGTCTTCTTGCAGTCCTTCAGCCGTTCCTTCTCCTACTGCTGGTCAGGTCGAGTACCACTGCGAGCTTGAGAATGGTTTGGGACTAGACACAAGAGAAGCCACATGACTAATTGAGTCTGTTGAATCATTTTATTCTCCAGTCTTGGTCATTCCAAGTAGCAAGACTTGGATTCCTGACTCTCAGGCTGTTGTTGCAATGGAAGAAGCTTTCATTGCTAAACACTATTACCCTACAGACTTATGTCGAGAATACAACATAGCTATAGAGGATGATGTTGTTGGGCTAGATAAAATTGCTATGATGATTGATATTAATGACTGTGAAAAATTGTTGATCCTAGTGAAACAAAGTGGACAAATAGGATGGGTAGTGGATTGTGAACTAGAAAAAGCTAACTCAAGCACTCAGGAAAACAGATCGGGTGCAGCCAGACACCTTGACTTTTAGATTGGATGGTACTTGCATCCATTGTATTATGGAGAATATTCAGTTGATCTTGTCATTGATCACTCAGGTCAGGTGGATATGGCAAAGTCGGAAAATGCAGTTGAGTCAAACAGGGAACTTGAGTTTCTAAGTAACAAAGAAGGATTTGTTTTTCTCAAGTGGTGTTCAAATGCATTTGACTTGAATCAGCTTGGGTTTAACATTGTTGGGTATGGAGTCACAACTTGCATTTGCAATTCAGGAGATGTTCATGAAGCAGTAGCAACAACTATTTCATATAATGATTTGGTGGCAGCTGGTGTATTATCTACGGCCAATTCTTATCACCTCAGGCAATTTACAGGCGTTTTTGGTTTAGAGAACTCGATTAAGCCGGATGGGTGGGGACTTTGGAGTGTCCTGGAGGCTGCCAGTGTGGAGGCATGCCTCTCATATAAGGGGTATGCGCTTACATCTGAATCAGCGGGATGCAGGGGAAAACCGAGGCATGGCTACTAGGTTTATGGTTATCGGATATTCCCTACTTACTATGGAGTTTGTGTAATGTCTCGCGGAAGGTGAAGGTGTCCTGACTTCAAGGAGCCCTATAAAGATCGAATCATAAGGCAGAGCAGTGTTTGTGGTTGTCTGTATTGCAGATGGCAGGCCATTGGAGCGGGTTGTTGTGGTTTTGTAGATGGCTGGCCACTTATTGGGCGCTCTCTAGTGATAAATTGAGCGTGTTTGGTTGGCTGAAGAGAATTCCAATAGCTGTCCTACTAGTGAGCAACGATCCTCCATCAAATATTAGCTCTCATGTGCTGCCATTACATTATGCATCTCATTTCCTTTTGTTTAGTATAATTTTCTTTGCTATATCATGTCTTGAGTTTGTTTTGATTTTCAATTGTTCTTCAGCCTTGAGGACAAGGTTGTTTTCATGGGGAGGGTAGTTGTAACAAATGAGACTAAGATGCAAACTCGTTAAGAATAGGGAGTGGAATGTAATTGTGTAACAAGTATAAATAGGACCCTCCTATATTGAACTCAGTATCGAATACAATCTACATAAATTACTTCCTTTTCCCCTATCTCTTCTCTGCTTCCTTCCTCTGATTTGTCTATGTTCTTCCCTTGCTTTCTCTTCTTTCTTCTCTCTGATTTTTCTCATCTCTGAAACTCTATTGTTGATCTTCGCAAAGAATTCAACTCTTCTTCTCCGGGGTATTACATCCACTCTAAATCAGTTCGTCAAATCCAAATCCCTAATTTGTGCTTTCGCAACCATCCTCTCGTCAAATCCGGCGCCCCTGCCCGCTCTCTCCTAGATCTAGGGGTGGGCACGTGGGTGGTTAATTCGCGGATTGATATCGATCCACCTGCAAATAACTCAACCCGCACGCAGTGGGTGATTGATGTGGGTGGATTGTGGATTGGTAAATCTCCCACCCGCACTGATGTAGGTGGGTGGGTGGTGGGTGGATTGCGGGTCACCCATATGACCCGCATCCTATTTTTACATGAAAAAATATTGTTTATTATAGTATCGAATATTCATCATATTTTCGAACTCCACTACAGTCTGACCATATACTTCAAAAGGTGGAGAGTAAATAATAGTTTTGACTACTATTATTGGTCATTGTGATGTGCAATATCCATTAGATATTGGATATTGGTATGCAAATTATTGTTAGTAACCATTAGATATTGGGATGCAAACTATAAATTTTTAATTGTATCAAAATCACACATTATTGATACAATCTTACTAATTTGCTATGAACTTATTATAAATGTTAGTCAACTTTCTTAATAGCTAGTTGGAGAATTGCTTTGCGGGTTGACCTGCAACCCAACCGCACCCATCCACCACCCACCCAACCCAACCCGCAGAAGTATGTGGGTGGATTGCGGATCACAATTATTCCAACCCGCTAGTAAGCGGGTGGGTCAATTTGAGACCAAAACCCACCCAACCCGCCCGTTGCCCACCCCTACCTAGATTTGCCCAAATCTTTCTCCCTCCCCAGAATTTTTTTTGTTTCTCGATCTAGCTATACTTAGTCACCACTAGCCCTCCAGCATCACTAGATATCAATATGCTTCGTTGAAAATCGTTGACAGGAGAGGTTGACGACAATCGTCGACAATCATAATAGATGAAAACAGCAACAACAAAGAAGAAGCTGGGATTGCAGCTGAACCAGGGAACCAGAAACAGAAGAATGAAAACAACAGCGTTGTGTGTAGTAGTCGTTAGTCTAGCGAGGATTGAGTGCTAGCCACGTGTCAGCTTATTTACAATTTCATTTTCCGTTTTTACTGTAGTTGAACTCTGAAGCTTTTCTGAGAATAAATAGAAAAGGATGAGCTAGTAGCTCACCTAACAAATTCCCCATTTCGTTTTCTGCGGCTGCTAAACACCTTTCTTCTAATGGTATCAGAGCGACTCTGATCCGCTTTTCCGCTTCGAAGATGAATACTCCACATGTCCCCCCTAGATTTGGAGGCATTCCCTTTGGTACATTCAACTCTAGCTTGAGTGGTAGCGGTGGGAAAGTTCACCTACAACTTTGAGCCACACCAATTGATCTCTGGCATTGGAGATTAGGTCATCCCAATAATGATAGAGGCAATCAGGCCATTGGATGTAATAAGATAGTAGTTAACATTGTCAAACTTGTCATTTTGCCAAACAAAGGAAACTGTCATTCCAGATTTCTGTATGAGATTGAGGCTGAAATCCCCAATCCACTTCTTCAAATCCATTTCCAGATCGCGACCAATTTGTTTATACAGATCGTTGATCGATTTCTGGACTTCAGATTGTAGTAGAAGCTCCAGGCGGCGGCCACGACAGATATCCGGCGTCAAGAGATATAAACGAGGCTCTGAATCCGAAGTCGCTGCAGCCGAAGGAAGTGGCGGTGCACAATTGCCACGCGTAGAAGATATGAAGCATCGAGGAGCATCTGAATCAGAAGCGACGACAGTGGTGGAATAGAGCACCGAACATGACTCCAGTGTCGAAACCTAAGAGAAGGCCGCCAAAGCCGGTAGGAAAAGCGAGGCGGAGAACATGACCCAGATTTCAGCCACGGTTAATCAAATTAGCAAGTTGCCACTGCCGCTGAAGGCTTCTCAGCCATCCCTATCAGAACACGATCACTGGCAAAACCAGAACCGCCGGGGCGACCACTTTCTCCCGTCGTTTTTTGTACCTCCCTCGTTAGAAATCAAAACCCAGAGAAGCAACAAATAAAGAGATCAAAATCACTGATAAGAAATGAAAACATAACAAAAGCAGCATGCATGCCGGATCATACCCGATCAATCATAGAAACTATCATTCCCTTAATTCATAAAAAATAAGAAGCCTTCCCTCCCCTGTCTTAGTCGTCCCTGCAAATCTCCTTTCTGAAGCATCATCTTACTGTTGCTGTGATTATTGTTATTGTTGGTAGCGCCACCGTTGATCGGGTGGTGACAGAACTTGAGGCGAGGCTGATGGCGGCGGGGTCGTCAAAGACCCCATTTCTGTCGTCGTGGGAGGAGTATCCGATGGGGAGGTCGGCCCAAGGGGACTTGATGAGGTCGGCGGCGGCGGAGGGCTAGGGGGAGGCGGCGGCGAAGGATCTGGTCGAGGAAATCGTCGGCGGCGGATGAAGGGTCTTCTGCTGAACATGCATTATTAGAATGAGGAAAGAGGAGGCCGTTCATTTTCTTAATTTAATTAATTATTGTTAAATAATTAATATGATAAATGATATAGAAAAACTGGAATGATGAGGTGGGAAAATAAATTTAATTTTTTAATTTCCATGTCATTTAGTTAACGGTCAAACTTAATAGTTGACTGCCACGTAGGACAAATTTAACGGAGTGTAACGGCCGGTGACTAACGGTGATACAATTCGTAAAGTTAGTGGTGAACAAGAAAAAAAAGTAATTCGGATGACAAACATGAAAGATTTGTATAATTTGAATGACCAAATGTGTAATTTATCCCTTCTAAAACTTTTATAGAATGATTCACCTGTTAACTTTCAATAATACACGTACTTATTTACGTAACTCTCCGAACTTCTATTTGATAACAAAAAGAAAATTAAAGGCTCCATGGATGGGGGAATACACGTCTTGTCAAGTTCACCTTTTGCAGAGAGGGCACGAAATTATAGTTGTGAAGGAGCGGTGCCACCCTGTACACTTACCCACCCTTCGGCTCGATCGCTTTGCAAGTCGTAATTTTCTTTCCATGGGTTCATCCTTTTCTCCCTTGTAATCCATGCAACAGCAACATCCCCACCACCGATAACAACAATATTTATTTAATTAACAATTCCCAAGTTTTGCTCTTGAAGAGAAAACGGTACGCAATCTGCCTTTGGCTTGTATTTTTTTTCCCCGAAAGAAAAGAACCCTTCTGCTCCATTCACCAACTTGCCATTCCGTGTTTCTTTCTCTGTCTCTCTCTTCCCTCTCTCGCTGCCTGTTGGTTACCCCGAGTGGTTTCTTTCCTATCATCTGAAAGTTTGGCATTTTCTTCGATTGGCACGAAGTGTTGGTGGAGAAATCTTTCTGGGGCTGGTTTTGGGAAACGATCTAGTTGTTCGGTTCTGAGGTGATGGGGCGGCTTTTTGTGGTGAACCTTGAAGGGAAGATCTATAGTTGCAAGCACTGCAGAACCCATCTTGCTCTTTGTGAAGATATTGTGTCAAAGGTAGTCCCTTTCTCGTCCGATGGAGAAGTTATCTTGTCTCCGGTATCATGATCTCGTGGAATTCTCATCTGGGTTTTGTTTGATTGAGTTGGGATTTTTGTGATTATAAAAAGAAAGTGGAATTATGTTGTGTGGGAATTTTATGGTGTGTGGTCTTTGCTGTAAATGAAGAATTTTGGGAGGTTTCTGATGATTGAATGAGAGCACTTTCGGACTAGGATTGTTAGTTTTCAACCACATTTCCAATTAGGTAGACTGAATAGATAGCCTAGGAAATTGCGGAAGATATTAGTGAAATGATCTGTCATCTAATGCATGAGATTGCGTGCAATTTGGGTGAAATTTTTAACTTGATCTTCACCACCAGTAAAAGGGTTCACAGAGATAGTGATGTTGATTGTAGTTCACTGTACAGAATGGGTAGGACCGTAGGAGAACCAGAGCTGTTGCTGGTGTGGATTATGGTTCTTCTTCCAAGCATTACCTGATTGTTCTGAACAAGAAACTTAACTGTGTCGCGGCTCTTTGGTTCATCTCTGCCAAAGCTTTACCTCTTTCTGCTTTGGGTTTGCACAAATCACAATGTTGTTCTTCTCTGTTGCTTTAGTGGGTTTGGGACTATTTTGGACCTTGACCTGTAAATCTAAGCTCATGAGTGTAATGAGGTGATTTGATCGGAATGCATTCATTCGGTCCCACTTGATTTCAAACGATCAATGTAATTCCACAACTCAAATAAACATTGTATGCAGCAGGTTATTATCTCATCTCTGTTTGATAGCTGAAGAGCTTCTGTCATTCATTTTCTGATAGGGTAGTGCCGTGGCATCTCATGAACCATTGTTACTAGCAATTGCATACCAATGTCCTGCATAGACCTTGGAATGTCGGTTGTTTAATCATGTTTGGTTTTAGGTTTTACATTTGATATGGTACCGAATGTTGCATAGTTTTCACCTCTCATTGAAGTTGAGGCTATTGGAAGTATGGATGAGCACAACTTTAGCTTATCAGTTTGCTGCAATTTGATGTATTTTAGTTCTCCTCAAAATATTCTTTGTATTTTACTGGGAAGTGAGGTACTGACTACTTGACATCCTATATGTCTTTTCAGTCTTTCCACTCCAGGCATGGGAAAGCTTATCTCTTCAGTAAGGTGTAAGTTTTCCTTGATTTTTGAGTGTTGATCCATCTTGGACATCAGGTTGTAGTTCCAAATACATGCCAATGCTACCTATCTGTTATTCTCCATTTATGGTACAGCCAGTTGTATATGAGTAACAGTTGATGTGGGTTAACAAACACTCTTCAATTTATCTAAGCCTTCACTCAGGGCTTGCATTGTGGGACATGTGATTCAAACACGATGCAACGCATAAGAGAGGCAGAGTTTGTCTATCATTACTATTTTTAAGGGTCCAAGTAGTAGTGTTCATTGTCAGAGATATGTTTGCACAAAAGGCATGAAGACCTTACATCTTAAGTTTATCCATTCATCGCAGAAGGGAAGAGCATTTTAGTCTATTTACGAATCAGTCTTCAGCTTTTTCCTACATGCGCAACTTGATCTGTATAATTAGAAGTGCCTTTGCTGCAAAAGGCTGCTATGGTAAGATGACATCCTTTTTCTCAGCCATGGGTTTCTCTTCACTTGGTAGTAGAATTTTACATGTTGCAGAGTGAATGTCACTATGGGAGAGAAAGAAGAGAGAATGATGATGACCGGGAGGCATACCGTTGTTGACATCTTCTGTGTTGGGTGTGGATCAATAGTGGGTTGGAAATATGTAAGATTTGGCTGAATCTGTGAAAAAAGCTTGAATAGCAAAAAAAAAAAAAATTATGGATAGGCAATGATAAATATATGGTATATTTTTCTTTCAGGAGACTGCCCATGAAAAGTCCCAGAAGTACAAGGAAGGAAAATCTGTTCTCGAGCGGTCAGTAAATTGATAGCAGCTGAAACATTTTTCGCAATTATAGATGTTGCACCAAAAGCTTACCATAGACTGAATTCCAGATTGTGTGATGAATTAAGGGTACAAAATTTTGGTTGTTGATCAGGTTTAAGGTATCTGGTCCTGATGGAAGCAGTTACTGGGCCAATCATGAAGTTTCGCAGCTTATCGCTGGGAGCGATGCTGATGATGTTTGATAGTATGCTGTTCTTAACCATCTGTTACCAATTGTACATTCCTTCCTCTCTCTCACTCTTCCTCTCTCCTTCTAATTTCCTCATTGTAACTCCTGCAAGAATTAGAACTACCTGCGCATTCAGACGGCTCTTGGGAACTTGATCTCGGATAACTTGGTTTCCAAGAAAACGTTGGATTGTTTGATCCTTGATTTATTAGTTATTGTTCTTTTTCTCATTTCACTGTGAATAATATGATCTCTCATTTCGGAATCCATGAACCCATCTTTGTCTTTTCTTTAGGCTGATGATCAAGTTCATGCAACGACAGTAGCTAGCCTCTAATTAAGATGATATCCTTTTTCTCTTCTTAATATAATATGCCAGAATGTGTTATATGAAAGGGATTTTGAACTTATTGATGGAAAATTACTAATTATTATTCCCTTCAAGTGCAATAAAAGGAAATTTTATTAATATATTTTAAAATGTCAACATACAACTACAAGCTTACAACTGCTTTTCACTCTACTTCGTGTCCCATAAACTTGGCGTTTTTTATATCCAAATCCGTGTACACCACGAATTTGCTAATTCCTTATTTTCATTTGAGATGCGTTCCTCGAATACAAAATTTGTGCAGCAAATTATAAATTCATGATAAAAAAATCAATTTAACAAATAATATACTCTTTCAAATGTTATAATGTAATAAATAGATGATAAATGGAAAAAATTCTTAAAACTCAAAATTTTCTTTTTCAATCCAATGACTACACCTAGATCTCCGTATGTACAATACCTTACTTCAATCTCACGTTTAGGATAAAGCAATACCTTGCTTCGATTTCACGTTTGGGAAAAAAAAAGAGACCTACTTTACTTTCAAATACCCAATAATAAAGTAAGCCGATTCGCCGCCGTCCCGGAATTCTTGCGCCGCAGCTGGTGAAGACTTGTTGATGATTGGCGAATCCTGAGAGAAATATGGCCGAGACGATGAGGAGAAGCGAGGTAGGCAGCAGCAGCTGTAGCCGGGGAGAGACGGTGGTCGTGGATAATGGCCGGTGTAGAAGTTCTTGCGGTTACTGCAAATCTCCCGGCCACACCAGCATTTCCCATGGTCCGTGTTTTCTAATCATTCCCTGTTTGTCGTCGGGGGATTTTCTTGGTTTATACCTTTGTTTGGCTGGTTCTTGGTGATGGAGTCCTAGAATTTATTGATTCCTTGTCCTTGCGGAAGCGTGGAATTGGGAACCAGTCGTATTGGTGGCTGTCTTATGATTTAAAAATGAAGGAAATGTGGATTTATGGAGCTTAGTCTATTACCACCTTAAGGAATTTGGTTGAATTGTATTGGATTTTGAGCATTGTAATCCAAGAACAAACTCTGATTTGAATATGTAGTGTGGGTTTGTTGTTTCCAGTTTGTTTGATTCGAATAATACGAATGGAAGTCAGGTTTCGATGTTTAATTAAGGCTCACTTGGGTTGCTTTCCCAGGTTTATCGGCGCACAGCATTACAGTTGATGACTATCAAGGTTCGTTCTATTTATGTTCCTGTACGTTGTCATGTTCAATAGATTCGGATACCGGGAACAGTGTTATGCTTTATGAAGTCTCCATTTCACTCTCAAGGGAAATTTTGATGGGAGTCTGATCAGTATGAAACCACTAGTAAAAGAATGTTTAAACTTGAAAGAAAGAACAGTTGAACGATTGTTGTGTCACATATGTGAAACCGATGGATCTTGAGTGATGTCAAACTGCTTTAAGATAAGCAGACAGATATCTTCGTGATTCATCGAAATGGTGGATATCTTTTTATGCAACCTGAAATGAAACTGGTGTTGTCTAGTTGATGGTTGTGTTGTGACTTATAACTGTATTAAAACATGAAACTTTTTTAGGTCTGCTGTCTTCTAATCTAATCCTTCATTGCTAGATCTTCTTGACCAGGGTTGGAGAAGATCTGGATGTTTCCTGTACAAACCTGAGATGGAAAGAACATGCTGCCCATCTTATACTATCCGCATGAGGGCAATTGAGTTTGTTCCCTCAAAAGAGCAACAACGCGTTTTTAGAAGAGTACAAAGGTACTTTCTCTTTCTAGACAAACCATTAAAGAATGCATATCCCTATGGTCTCTTTCTTTTTGATTGGTTGGTCTTTGAGATCACATTGGCTTGTTATTGAAACAAGCTACTGCTGTTTGGATGTTCCACATGCATAGAGGATAATTTCTTGGTGAAATTATCTCTGAATCTTCGAGGAATTTGAAGCCAAGTTTTGTTTGTCTATCTAGTATTGTTAAATGTACTTTGTATCTGATTCCTTAGTACCTAATTGACTGGTTGTAATGCGTGTGCCTAGGTTCTTAGATGGAATGTTTGATGTGAAAAACTCAGTAGAGGCAATAGATGATCCAACTACCTCTAACAACGAATGCACGTGTGCCTGTCATGAAGCTTCAAGCAGTGGAATGAAAGATTCACTCTCTGATCAAAGTGAGGAGAGAAAAAGTTCAGAGCAGACTATCAGCTATTTGGCTGTGCAACTTGACAAGGCAGTGAGTAAGTGCACTGAACTCGGGGAACTTCCTTCTGCCATCAAACTACCTACCGTGTCTGTCAAAAAGGTATTCCAGGGGAAATGGAAATTACATGTTGAAGTGGGAAAATATCTATTGTACTCTAGCAATATTGCATTCCAGATAGCAGCTATTCTCAATCGAGCTAAGTCAGCTAACAAGCAACCAAGACCTAATCATGAAGATGATAATGCCATAACCTCCAAGGCAACTGCAGAAAGGCTGGTTGCATCTGTTGATCAGCTGGCTCAAAGCAGCAGCAGCCTGGTAGTCAGGGCCTGCAATGGCCTTATAAATTTTTATGGTGCTGCAACTCAGTCTCCTTCTGAGAGCAGTGAAACTCTCAGTGGGCCTGAAGAATCTGGAAGAGGTTGTAAAATAAAAGGTTGCTGTTCAAGGAAGAGTAGCGAACATTTGCTTGGTAAAAGGAGGAGGCTTGAGGTTCGGTTGAAAAGGTCTAGTTTTGATCCTGAAGAGTTTGATTTGTATAGACGGTATCAGCTAAATGTGCATAATGATGATCCTTATAATATCACAGAAGGCTCATACAAAATGTTTCTGGCGACTCTCCTCTAGTCTTTGTTCCATCGTCTGGTGACAGCGGGGTTACTCCTTGTGGGTTTGGTTCTTTCCATCAGCAATATGTAATTGATGGTCACCTAATTGCTGTTGGAGTGATAGACCTCTTGCCAAAATGTTTGTCAAGTACATATTTGTTCTGGGATCCGGACTATGCTTTCCTGTCTTTAGGCAATTATTCAGCCTTGCAAGAGATAAATTGGATGAAAGAGAATCAAGTACATTGCGCTAGTCTTCAGCACTATTATCTTGGCTACTATATACACTCCTGCAGTAAGATGAGATACAAAGCTGCATATCGACCATCCGAACTGCTCTGTCCTCTTCGTTACCAGTAAGTTGCTTTGTACACAATTTATTGGTTTTGACTTTTTTGTCCGCGTCTTCGTGCTTGCAAGTTCCTTTCTCACATTCCGTTTCTCTTCTACATTACTTTGCGGCTATGCTCGGAGGATTCCTCTTCAACATGAATCACCCTTGTCATATGTTGATCAAAATTGTAATGCAATAGGTTTTCCCCGTCATCGATAAAGGGTGTGTTTGGGTCTGTAAATTTATATTATTTGGTTCAGTGTAAATGCCAGGAAATAGTGTCAGGAAAGTGAGAAGTCGTGTGACCAATTTTTCTAGTGTGCATTTTCGAGTAGTTTCTGCCCCAAGTATATTGATGCATTTGAGATTTCGTGTACTCAAATAGATTCGTATACATCACAGCTTTCGCCAAAAGAATGATGCAACTTGTTCAATTGCATGCTATTGCAAATTTTCCCCTCCCAAATACACAGCCAAATGAGCTGAATGTGACTTGAAGCTGTCATCTGAGTATACCCTGTTGATTGTGCATCATAATTGATTGCTTATTTTGGGTTTACATGGTTCTGAGAATATCTTAATTGATTGCTTATTTTGGGTTTACATGGTTCTGAGAATATCTTAGTTGAGAGTTTTGTTCTTTTAGGCATCTAATTTTGAGAGGTCTCAATTGTATCTGCTGCTTTCCATTCATGCTGCATTTTACACTATTGTTTGTTTTCTTTGTCGAAGTACACTATTTCTTAGTGCTTTATAAGTTTGGATACTGATGATGTTCTAATTTATACTGTGCAGATGGGTTCCATTTGATGTGGCAAGGCCTTTACTTGACAAAAATCCATATGTTGAGTCCTTGCTGCCTCATGTTCCTGAAAAAATAATGGACGAGCCGCAACATGACAATAATATGCACGGGGACTTGAATGATAATCATGTAGACGACAACAAAGAAATGGTCGAACCTGAATCCGACACCTCTGATGATGAGTCAGGTCCTGAAACCAGTGGGCATGGATCAGTTGAAATAGAGGATGGTGATGTTAGTGAGATTTTAATTGGATTGAATGGTGCTCGTGTGAGGTACCAGGTAACTTCCAGGCTTGTGTCATCCACTGATTTTTTTCCCGGAATTTCTTCCTGTAGCTGTTCTGTATAGCGATATAAGTTGCAGAATGAATCATAGGTAGACATTATGAGTACAGAGAAAGTAGTGTATCTTAGTTGAAAGAAACCTAGTTCGACAGCGAAATTTCGTTCTAGTACACGAGTCGTGGGCCTGCGCACACACAAGCATACAAATGTTACACAATTGACATGTCGACACTAACTCTACTAGTTACTTTTCTTTGAAGGATCTGAGAGCATCTCTTGAGGCAGAAGAAAGGAAATATTTGGAGTCCCAGCTGCGCAGATACAAGAGGGCTGTCGGCGCAGAGCTGTCGAAGAGAATAGTATTTACACTTGAGTGATGCCCCCCCCACTGCCAGGCTCCAATGATCTCTCCCCCTCGAAACCGAGTCGCTGAAAGAACCCTGTGCACTTGATCATGTCTCTGGTTTTCTTTCATGTAGGTGGTGTTGCTTCTTCGCTCGAAGCGAAAATATCGTCGGTGATGGCTGATCTCTTAGTTCCCTCAAGCAAGGTTCATGTGGTTGGGTAGAATGTAGATGGCGACGATGTCAATTCGATCGGTGTGTCTGCTGCTGCTGGCTCTTGGGTGCTCACTGGAGATGAATGCACTTTCCTGTTTCAAATCACAGGGACCCGAATCTCCTTTCTTCCACAGTCGCAGTTTTCTTGCTCTGCATCTGTGCACTAAGCTGAGCATGGGAACATGTTTTTGATAAATAGAAGAGAAGAACTCACATGTCGATGTGCAGCCTCTCCTTTTGTAGGTTTCTGCTGCAGCTGTGCAACAGCTTCTGCAGTAAACTAGTGAACATGTCATTGCATGGTTGTGGAATCAAATGGCCATAAGATCGGACGAGAAATAAAAGAAAAAAATGAGAGTGAAATCATATTTTGTTCGGGTTTGTTTTCTCTTTACGGTTAAGAGAACTCCTAAAAATACGAAATCAAAACTACATGAACTAATTCATATGGAAATATCTATTCGATAGGATAGGAAATATCTATTTGATCTGATTCAGTTTACTGTGGATCTTAAAGATGTTGGTGTTACCATCGTGCCAAGGTATTAGTGAAGTGTTAGGGATGATATAAAAGACTCATCAATATTTGGGTATTGTCTGGACATTTATTGTTGTAAAAAAAAAAAAAAGTCTGGACATTTATTCTAATTTATTATTGGTCAATTTAGAGGTATGGTCTGGACATTTGACCGTGGTCGGGCTCTTGGGTCTATATGGTCGGCGCCGGTCTTTAATCTGATATATAATAGCTGTTTGGCCCCAAACATCTGACAGAAAATTCAGAAGCAGAACTGTGAAGGTGATAAATTAATTATCTGTTAATTACTCGGTTTTACCAACTTAACCAGCTGATAATTTTACCACTCGCGAATCTTTCAGGATTAGTTATCACAAAAAAAAAAAAAAATCTTTCAGGATTAGTTAAAATATTTAGTAGTTGATAAGCTGTGTTTGGAGTTTGATTATTAAAAAACAGGAAAGCGAGCAGCCCTACCAGCACCTGGTGATGCAACTGCCACCCACCTTCAACGAAAAAGGAAAGGCAGAAACAATAATAAAATAAGAGAACGAATACCGTGCAAAACTCACACTGACCTGCAAAACTTGCAAAATCCGATGGTATCATTGTATCACGAGATACGAAATATAATCGTCTCATATGATCGTATTCGTATCATACAAGTTGTGATACGATAATACGATTGGGGTTTTGTAGGAAAGGAGTTTTGTAAAGGAGCACAGAGCATAAAATAAGCTGATGAGTGATGTCGTCGTAGGCTTCAAGTGAGATCAATCAGGGAGGGAACAAAAACAAGTAGTAAGCAACCAACTATTCATAATAGAAATAGAAAATGAAGGGCCCGACTGACTCTTTGCAGTTGCCTTTTGTTTCGCAGTGATAATTGAACTTTGAAGCTCCCACTGGACACTATAAAATTTTTGGCTTTGGCTTGGTTCTGCCCCCAACTACCTCCTACCTAAAATAGAAATATAGTTTACATATACATGCCACCCTGGTGCTCATTAGGCACCTTACGCCGTTGGATCGGAAGCGAACAAAAAAACAATCGTTAGATTGAAGCTAGGGGTGGCTATACGGTCCGGTTAAATTGGTCCAAATTGATCCGGTCCAGTTCGGTTTTTTTGAAAATATAAGGACCGAAGATTGGATTGGATACAGTCCGGTCTTGACCCGGTCCGGTCCCAATTCGGTCTTGATTTTATATTGAGATTGTGGGAATTTGAGTGGCCTAAGGCCTAAAAGGGTGAGGAGTTGGTTAAGTTTTGTATTAAGTGCAAAGGTTTTTGACTGTTTATGCAAATTACCCTTAAGTTTTGGGTGTTGAGCTCTCTTATCCGGTCTTTATCCGGTTTTTTACCTCAAATCTAAGGCCAAAGATTGGATTGGATTGTTTACTATCCGGTCCCGGTCCGATCTCGGTCCGGGTTATACGGTCCAGTTTCCGGTTTTTCATCCGGTCCCGGTCCAAATAGCCAGCCCTAATTGAAGCGGTGGCAAAACAGTGTCAGGCACTTATAAGCACGTTCCCACAAGCATCGAGCACAGTTGCAGAATTCACATGTACGATCAAAGCCAAGTACAATCAGAGTCCGAAACATTTTCCATAATTCTAATGTGAAATTGCAAAGTATCTGTACCGTGAACAAACATTAGTTGTATTGAATTCTGTGTCGGTCTTTCTCGATGGCGCGGAGCCAATAGTTGGAACAAGAGAATTATTAGGAATGAGTTGTAATATAATGGTAAATTGTTACTATATTAATTTTGAGGTTCTGAGTTCGATCTTTATAAACGCATAGTTGGGGTTGATTATTTTCACTTTCGGAATTAGATGTGTCCTATGTCACATTCAACTTATCCTATCTCCTCCTGTGAGGATAATATTGGTCAATGACTCTAATATTGGACAATCGTATTGTTGTAGTTTTTGTTTTTTAGTTTGAAAGTTTGGTGAATGGTGTTATAATGTTTGGTTGGGATGATATGAGTGTTCCTTATGAAAGTAGCAATTGATCAATGTATTGATCACAACTAGGTTGACATGACTCTTCCTCCTTTTGGCGAACTTGTAATCACCAATCCCTCAAGCGGTTGCAATAAGTAGTAGCGACTAGGTTATGTTTTTCCCCATCCAGGGCCAACTTTGATTAATAATTTTGGTCTAGTCAACACTTCATGTTACTAAAATTATCAACAAAAACATCTGATAATCAAGTGACACAACCCACTCGGAATCAACCCACCCCACTTTTGAAATATGTAATACGATGGTGACAAAACTTTTTAGTTCATAACAAAACTGTTAGACGCTCCCAATTCTGCACGCTAGAGCTCTTCCAATTGCTGCCGCCATATCTGAATGTTCTCAATGAGATGACTTGAACCTTCTCTCATATTCTACTCCTTGTATGTCTTGCCCTTTCAGGTGTCTCATTTCTTTCTTTATATGATTTTCTGTTTCAGGTCCATGGAAGGTTTGATGTGGACATTAAGGAACATACTGGAAAATCGAAACATCCACATATAATACATACCTTTGTGTTTGGGTTAGGGTTTTAGGGGACATAGCTCGTAAGATTATTTCTTCAACCTGTCTTTGTATTCATTGGTTGTTGAGTGATTGAAAGAGCTCCGACAAGGAGAAATGAGACGGTATAACCATTTTATTAAGAACTAGAAAGTTTTGTACCATCATCATACGTGTTTCAAAAGAAGGGGTGGGTTGGATTTAGGGATGACAACAAAACCCGAACCCACTGGTACCCTACCTGATCCAACCCGGTCAACGTGAGAGTGTTGACGGGTTTTGGGTCGGGTTCGGATTTAAACCCGTTCACTATTCACCGGGTTGGGTTTGGATTTAGGTATTACCCTCCCCATGGATATCCACCCACACCCATATAATTAATTTTCCCGGTATATTTAATATTCTAAGTAAATAATCTTCTTTATGTTTGTGGAGACATGTCTAATTTTTTTTCTTCTATTTGTGTTGAATGAAGTTGATAGTATCGAGTGGAGATTGAAGAAGTTTAATTGACAAGGAGGAAGAAGCTTTCAATTAATCATGTTGTTTATGGATGATTTATGATTTGCTTCAATTTTCTTGAGTTTTCTAGATTGGTGTTGAACAATTTGTATGGTTAATTTGTGATTTGCTCGAATTTTCTAGAACGGTGTTTTATATATGGATAATTTGTATTGACATATCGATATTTGATTTTATTTTGATAGGAACTTGTTATTGTAAATTTTTTACGACAAAAACCCATGGGTACCCATAAACCCATGGATAGTGGATACCCAACAAGTTGGGTTGAGTTTGAATTTTCCAAACCCAACAAATTTTACCCCAAATTTTTTTCACAAATAAACCCATAAATTTATGTTCGGATTTGACAAAACTCGATCCAATCCAAACCATTACCATACCTAATTGGATCTTTGTGCAAATCCAAGGACATGACTTGCAAAATTGGGAAAGAAAGGTAGCAAAGGATTATTCTATCGAAAAAGAAAGAAAGACAAGTCCCACCACGTCCACATGGCCCATATTTCACTTCTCTATGTCCTCATATCCTTTCGCTTCCTAAACCAAAACTCAAAAACTCAAAAAACCCCAACTCCCAACTCTCTCTCTCTCTCTCACACTTTACCAGTTTCACCCCTACCCCCTCCGCTTAATTACACTCTTCCGCCACTCCTCCTCCCCGTTTTCCCCCTCCTCTCTCTCTCTTGAGTCTTCTTCCGGCACTGTGATCTCCTTCCCTCCCTCTCTGAACGCCACATTCTCTTCCTACCGGCCATTGTTGCCTTCTTCGCGGACCTCGCAAAACCCAAGCCGAGAACCACTACTCTCTCTCTCTCTCTCTCTTCCCCTTCTCTCCCTGTGCGGCGCTAGGTTTTGAGCTGACGCGACGGAGTTATGAAGCAGCGGTTGGAGCTGGGTTTGAGATCTAATTCATCAGTGGTTCCCGCCGCGAGAGGAAGCTGTTCGTTTATTTGCTAAAAAAAGGAGGGAGAGGAAAACAAATCATTGTTTGCTGCTGCTTCACCTCTTTCTGGTTGTTGGAAGAAGAAGAAGAAGTGAATGAGAAGCGAAGTTAGGTTTTAGTTTTAGTTTTGATTTTTTTCTTCTTTTTTGCTGGTTTCCCAATCCTTTAGTCAGTTGGTGGCGGGAGAGAGTGTGGGGTAAAAAAATGAATCGGAGTTTTAGGTCTCAGGACTCGCAGCAGATGCAACAGCTGCAAATGCAAGCGGCGGTGGTGAAGCAGAGGCAACAGCTGAGAGCGTCGATGATGAAGGAGAAGGAAGAGGAGCTCGCCTTGTTTTTGGAAATGAGGAAGCGGGAGAAGGAGCAGAACAGCGATCTCCTTCTATTCAATGAGACCGGCGATTTCGATGCGCCGTTAGGTTTGTTTGTTTGTTTATTTTGTTCTGTGTCGTCGGCCGGCGATTAACTCGCCGTGAAATTCATTCTAATTGGAATTATGTTTTTTCTTATAGGTTCAAAGCCTGGGACGTCGCCGATATTCAACATCTCATCGTCGACTCCGGCGAGGAAAACCAGCGGTGATGATTTCCTCAACTCGGAAAACGATAAGAACGACTACGACTGGTGCGTGGGAAGATGACTCTGGCTTTTTTCTCCAATACTTTCCTTATATTAGTAGTATTAATGTTCTTGTTATTAATTAGTCGCTTCCATTATTATTATTATACAATCGTTTGTTTTGTTGTTGTTTTGGCTTCGTCTTTCTTTGGATGCGTCTGTATTGTGTGCGAGCCATGATAATTGACATACGAAGGTCAATTCGGTAGGAGAATATAAGTTAGGAAGAGGAGAAGATTTTGTTCAGATTTGTTGAAAAGACGTGGTGGGTTGATAGAAGCCGGTGCCCTTTTCCTTGGTGTTTGGTATAATGCACATGAAGGAATCAATATCGGATAATCTTCAGCTTTTTACCACTCGTCCCTTGAGTGGCTATTTGGACGTTTGCCAATGGTAATTTTGTGGGGAGAGTGATGAATGGCTCTCATAACAACATAGTGCATCCAAGTTTTTGTTTTTTTGGATCAAGGTGTAGAATCTAGGTTCATGGAAGAGAATCACCGTGCTTTGTGCTGATTCTTTTTGGGGGGTTATGCTGCCTGATTGATTATTAAGGTGGTTTGAGTTATTCAAACATAACTGATGATTGCGAAAATTGTGCACTATTCTCATGTTGGTTGAAATGCTGTTCTGTTCTCAGGCTTCTAACCCCTCCCGGAACCCCTCTTTTCCCTTCCTTGGAGATGGAATCACAGAGGACAGTCATGAGTCAGATTGGTACTCCAAAGACTCGCCCCACTGCACTCAAGTCTAGGGTAAGATCATTTATCTGCCATTTGAAGCTTTCCAACTCGATTGTGGGCTGAATAATGTTAACACCATTGTTTACCTTTAAGATTCTAGTCTAGACTCTGGTATTGGTTACTGCATTGTTTCAACTTCCAAGGAAACAAATGGTTTCTGTTGACGATGCACTTAAGTTCAGACACTTATTCTAGGTGCATTCTCAGCCACGAACTGTGAAGTAGTGAGAGCTATACAACTACTTGAAGCTCTTTCTGTTTAAGTGTTTATTAGTTTAGAGGAAGAATAATAGTGGTGTTAGGAATTAGAATCCTCTTCTGTTATCTCTTCTCCGCCTTCATGTCCTAACAATCAAGTTTTCTCCTACTCAGCAAGTACCAGATATCAAGCCTTACAGATTCCCGCTCTAAAGTCTCATCATTTTCTCTTCAGTTCTTCTTGGTCCATGACATTGTGCGTTCAGGTTATAGGTTTTCTAGATGCACGCTTAGAATTGAGTCACCCTGGGACTTTAGCTTCTCACCTTGCCTCTTTTTACAACATTGCAACTCACAGGTCATGATGATTGATTCATAGTGGTAAATAGTAAAGACATGTAAGATTTGCAATATCAAGTTTCATAACTGACATGGGTGGATTCTATTTTTTATGTTTGTAGCTGGCAAATAACCAGCCAGAGAGCACAGCGGGTGGCAACTTGCTATCCAGACAATCAACTTCCTCCCCTGGGTTGAATTCCTCTACCATAGGGATTCGTAGGCCATCATCATCCAGTGGACCGGGATCAAGGCCTGGAACACCGACCGGGCGTCCCACATTGACAACAGCATCTAAACCTTCAAGATCTTCAACACCTACCTCCCGTGCCAGCTTGCCTTCGTCTAAGCCCACTCTTAGGTCTAGTTCGACTGTAGCTAAGCCTAATGGTCCTACTCCAGCGAGATCAACAGCAACTTCAGCGGGCAAGCCTACTGTTCCGGCGAGATCTTCGACCCCAACAAGGTCAACAGCACGATCTTCAACGCCAACAAGGTCAACAGTACGATCTTCAACGCCGACAAGGTCAACAGCAAGATCTTCAACACCAACAGCAAGACCCTCTATACCACCACCTCAACCCAAGCCAGCTTCAAGGCCCGCAACTCCAACTCGAAGACCATCAACCCCATCTAGTGCACCTCCAGGCAGTAGATCATTGGTACCACCACCAATCAAATCATCATCTGCTTCAGTCATTACCAAGTCAGTTCCTACAATTGCCAGAAATCCAGTGCCGTCATCACGTGGCAGTTCCCCAGCACCCAAGTCCAGGCCATGGAATCCCTCAGACATGCCTGGCTATTCACTAGACGCCCCGCCGAATTTAAGGACGTCAATATCAGACAGACCCACTTCAGCTTCCAGGGGCAGACCTGGAGCACCAGCTTCTCGATCTTCCTCTGTGGAGCCGGTTTCCAATGGAAGAATAAGAAGGCAGTCGTGCTCACCTTCACGAGGACGTGCCCCTAATGGCAACAGCGGGGGATCCGTTCCTGCAAAGAGTCGTTTGTATGCAAAAGCCAATGACAGCGTGAGCCCTGTTGTCATGGGGACCAAAATGGTTGAGAGGATGATGAATATGCGGAAACTAACTCCCCCTTCCAAACAAGATGACAACAGACATTCTCCACATGGTAACTTATCGGCCAAGTCTTCATCGCCGGATAGCTCAGGGTTTGGAAGAACAATGTCCAAGAAGTCTCTGGATATGGCCATCAGGCATATGGTACGTTTAACTTTACACATAATCCATACACCCCTTTGGTGGTTCTTCATAAAGCAAAATCAGCAGTTAACCTGGAACTTCCTGACATTTGACATCGCATTGGACAGGATATAAGGAGAACCATTCCGGGTAATCTACGGCCATTGATGACTAACATTCCAGCATCTTCGATGTACAGTGTTAGATCATCAGGCACTGCTCGAAGCGGCAGAACAATCAGTGTTTCGGACTCGCCTCTTGCAACCAGCAGCAATGCTAGTTCTGAATTTAGTGTCAACAACGGTGGTCTTTCCTCGATGGAATTGGAGGATGACATTGGTGGGATCGAAAGACATGGCCGTTCTCCAATTCGAGGCAGGTGATGATGAATTGTTATTCTGAAAACCACCCCATCCTAATTCCTGACCAGTTTTATACTGGTATCATATATATTGTGTATTATTTGTCTGGGTGTTGCTTGCATTCATATCTTTGTGGTTGGAAAGAAGAACAGAGAAGCCTATTTTCCTGGGGGGAAAAAGAAAAAGGAAGTGCCTAACCGGAGTCGTAGACTCTGTATTTGATGTAAAGTAGATTAGGTTGAATACTTCGTTTTGGCAATCCAAAGTTTTTCTCACGGTTTCTGTAATACCAAGTTGCCACATTTTCCATCCGCAGTAGATTCTTTTCCTAGTTTGTGTTATACTCACATGTCATTAGTGAGACTGAGAACCATATGTGAGAATCATTTCACAGGTGCTCAGGATCGTTGGACAGTATTTACAAAATTATCACCGTATTCATTTAACGGCTACGAAACGTCCTACCCCAATCCAACCGCTCCGAATGTATGAAATTGTTATCACAAATGATCTGTGAGCACCGTAGTAAGATCGGCTTTTTTGTGTGTGAACATTTTCGTTTCTGGTTCCCTTTCTCCAACGGAAAGCCAGACCTCGACTATATATGAAGTGTCTGCAAGTGGGACAGTGAAGTTTTTGGAAAGCTGAACTGCATGCATCAAACATAGCTAGAAAGTAGAAACTGCCGTAAGGGTAACGGCTTAGACAATTGGAGGAGCCGGCCGGTGGTCTAGAATCGCAGATTACTAGCTCCGTTTAATTTAAAGCAATCCAAATTATGGCTCCGGAGTGGCAGTTGCAGCATTCATAAATGGGAAAAGGGGTTGAAGTTGAGTTAGCAATCACGTTTCATGAGAAACAAAAAAAAGTGGGTTATTCATGGTTACGATCCAGCCAGGCGCATAAAGAACAGTGACCGTCACAGTTCCCATGAACAACTCTGCGAACCATCATCATCCATCAAGGAAAGACCAGAACACAGACTTGGACTCGAGGACAGAATATCGTTTTTCGTCTAAACGTAATCAGATTGCATATTTCAATTGTCATACGAGGATGTAGTGAAGCCCTCTAAAACTCTTAAAGTCCAAATGCTTCTCCTGCTATACTCTTACTGCTGCGAGTTCACAATGTCTCGGGGAAAGGTAAACTTCATCTAGAGAGGAGGAGATATAAGTAGTAATAGTGATCAGGCAACGGCAAGTGGCTCAGGGGCTTCTGCTGGTACTGCGGATGCAGAGTTTGAAGTAGAGGCTGCTGCTGAATCGATAGCTTTAGGATCCTTCGCTGGTGGAGCGGATGGAGTCAGCTTCAGGTGAGGTGGTGTATTGTGTTTCAGTTGTAGGAGTATGTGGCGCAGCCTGGAGAGCTCGGTTGGTTTCCCTGGTTTGGGGCCTTGGACAACCATGATTGAAGGCTTCTTCTCCTGGTCCTTCTTCGCTTTCTTCTTCTCGAAAGCGGGCACTTCGTTAGGGATGAGATCTGCGATCGACTTCCAGTACTCCTTGTCTGCCTCAGCATGGAACTTCTCTTGCTTGGTCACAAGTAGCTGCAGAGGCCAGAAAAAGAAGAGGCAGCAGTCCAGAAATGGGATTATGATACATCACACACACACACACACAGCAATAGCTCTCATATATATAGCTTGCTTCCACCCAACACACCGTGTTATACAATCAGAACTAAAAAGCTAAACTTGTGGTTGCATTCATAAGAATCATCAGAACAAATTAGTCGGTGAACTGACAGTCAAACAATATAAATGACCAGAACTGTTTCCTGCAAAGCCATCCTAAGTTGAATCTAGAACGAAACCCCTCTATTCGTTCGCACATTGCTAAATCCTTATTATGAGAAGCTAAAGAGAGCAAACTACTTCATGAACAGAATACAAATTGGGAAATACTTTCTCCAGGTGCTACAGGAACAGCAGACCATGGCAAGCTGGGAATATTCAGCATATCACTATCAGCTAGACAATCATGAAATAATCCAGAAAGCATCTGACTAATCTTAACCAACCAAATAATAGATTCTAGCATTTAGGTTTTGGCAATCACAGGAGGTTTTCATCCTTTCAAGCAATTTTCTTAGGCAGGATGTTCAACATATTGAAGTTGGAATAGATGAACAATCAAAATTCAAGGCTTTCAGTTTCACCCATGTAATTCCATGTTCAAAATCACATTAAGAGGCATCAGGTAATGAATGTATCGAACTCGTACAATTCAAAGTAGAATAGAACTCGATTCCCTGAACTCCACCATCATTGTTTCCTTAGCTAAATTCCCATTCCAGGTTCAAACCACATGCAAGGGATACCCTAACATCCTGAGATATGCTCTACCTTAGAACCTTTCCACTTTTCACCACACTTAATCATCTCTCATTAATAAAACCAAAATAGCATACAAACCACTTTCCAAGCGTACCAAGATCATGTCTTGGTACCAAGCGTACCAAGATCACAAACATCAAACTTGAAAAGAGCAACATATTCATGTCTCACCTTCTCCCTTTCCCTGTTAATTGCTTTATTGCTCTCACAAGTAACCTCCCTCTTCTTATGGAACTCCACCTTGTAATCCTCTGCCTCCTCTATTATTTTGCTAAGCAGCTCCCTTTCCTTCTTCTCCTTCTCCTCCAGTCGCAATGCGTTCTCCCTAAACATCCATACAACGGAACGAAAGAAAACAACGAGGAAGGTGAAAGATCATTGATCATCTACCATTTCCAATCGAGTTCTCTGCAATTGAACCCTATATCAGGAATGAACAGATATTCCCTCTACCAGACTGGAGTTCAGGCACAAACTATCGATCAAGCATGAAATCCGTCTAAGAGGGAAGCCAATTGACTACACCTTTTTCTCAATTTCGTAGTTCCTTTATGGTCAATTTGCCTATCTCATCACAAGCCAAACATAAGCGAGAAAGGGATCGAAAGAAATGGAGCTTTTACCTTCTCCACTCTCTGAGAGCGAAGCCAACTTCTTCCATCTCCGAAGGAGCCGGGAGAACAGGACCATTGGATCCACCGAAGTCTCCATCGAAACCGCCGCTCCCGTTCTCCTCTGCCGCCACGAACTCTCCGCCGTCGCCGTAGATCGGAGCAGGCTCCGAGCCGTAAGCGTCGTCGTTCGGCGCGAAGGATTCGAACTGTTCAGAATTGTAGCCTACATAGCCACCATCGCCGCCCTGGCTGTTGCTGCTGCCGAAGTGGCCAGGTGAGTCTACCCCTGTGACTTCCGAGTCGTCGAACGAGTCAACAAATGTAGACATCGGTCTCTGAGCAGGGCGATTATTTTTTCCCGTACGAAAGAAAGAAAATGAAAAGAGGCGTCTCGCTTTCGCTGCGGAGAAAGATCTATACGATTACGATACGATTCACGCCTCGTTACCTCCAAAATGGGTTCAAGTGGTTGGGCTTTAGTATGGGCTTGAACCACGGTAGAATTGGGTTCGATATTAACGAGTGGAATAATTTATTTTGGGTTAATACTCTAATTTGGCCCGAAGTTTAGCGTGTGTGACAGTTCTGGCCCCATTTTTTAAATAAGACATTTACGGCCTACTTTTGAAATTATTGGACAGATTTGGCCCGAAACTTGTGTTGACCGTTAGTATTAACGGTCAAACACTTATTCCGTTAGTGATTCAGCAAAAAAAATGGTTGATGTGGCTTGCCACGTCATTAAATAGTAATATTTTTTAATTTTGTAATTAAATTAATAAAAAAAATCCCAAAATCTCAAACCCCAAACCCCAATCCTCCGACCTTCATTTCTTCATCCCGCCGCCTCCTTCCCACTAGTTTATCCCCTTCTTCCTCTACTGTGTCGTAAGCAATCGGAGGCTGAACCACCCCGTCGTCGGAAACGAAGAGACTCCAAAGTCCGAAGCATCCGTCGCCACCATTGCAGAATCAGGGCTCTGAACCACCGGTTAGACTAAGAACAGAGAGACTCTGAACCACCCTTCTTCCTTTCCACCGACGAAGCAAACAGAGAGAATCAATACTGGCCATGGCGGATCAGATGCAATCGCTGTCACGAACTTGTTCAGAGACCGCGTCGATTCGTTGAAGAGAGGGAATCTCGAGAAGGAAGCTCGTCCGGGGAATCGTGCGTCACCACCAGATCTGGGTCCTGCAAAAAAAGTTCAACCCAACAGATCTCATAAAGCGAAGGGTAAAAGCAAAAGGAGCTCTAATCTTGTTCTGGGCGGTGCACATTTTGGCCACCAGTTGCTGGTAGCGGAGGGATTGGAATGGAGGAGAAGAATGGAGATGGAAGATGCGTGGATTTAGGCTAAAACATGGAGGAAGTGGAGCTGCGATAAATCCATCCTTTAATTTTTTATTTCTTTAATTTGTTAGTCTTATTTTAATTAAATTACAAAATTAAAAATGTCTTATTTGATGATGTGGCACATGTATAACCACATAAGCAGTTTGTTTCTGAATCACTAACGGAATAAGTGTTTGACCGTTAATATTAACGGTCAACACAAGTTTCGGGCCAAATCTGTCCAAAAATTTCAAAAGTAGGCCGTAAATGTCTTATTTAAAAAATTGGGCCAAAACTGACACTCACGCTAAACTTCGGGTCAAATTAGGGTATTAACCCTTTTTTTTTCCGTTGAATGTTTGGAATAAATTTATGTTGCTCATCTTCTTGCACACTGAGCCCCTCTTGGCACATTTTTTTTGGGTCGAATCAGTTCGTTTTCATTCCCAATCAATTTGCAAGACGCAAATGAAAACCGATTACAACAAAAGGAAAAGGTCAGAGTGAGTAGCTCAGCAGAAAGTTCAATCAACTAACAACTCTAATACAATAGCCTATATGTCATTAGTGGCGGAGCTATGTTAATGACAGGAGGTTATATCCACTACTCAACTCTCAAAATCATGTAAAATTATATATAAATGTGGTAATAAATTAGCAAAATATAGTTGCCGATAAGTTGTTAGCCTTCTTTTAGTTCGAATTCTTTGTGTGTAAATTTTTAGCTCTCTCATTCGAATTTCTGACTCACCTACAAAAAATCAACATTACTATTACAAGAATCGAAAATCCTTACAGACACCCTAATATTCGAAAGTCTCTGCTCCTCAAATTTGTAATTTTTTTTAATGAATTTTTAATGTTGACAACTTGTGAACTATACTTGTCAAAATCGGTGGCCTTTGTGTAAATTCAATCCAAACTAATAATAACACTAATATAATCTTGAGACAATACAACAAGACAAAACGTAGCCGCAGAGTTTTGATTGGTGAAGACTTTGACTGTGTGCTGGTTGGCAATGTAGAATGCAGATCTTCAACTGAAAAAACAAGAAAACCAAAATTCTTCAAACTCTGTTTTCTCTACCGTCGATAATACACATATTCATCTGTCACCAGTTACAAGTGTGTTTGATGCACTATCCTCTGAAGTTTCTGCATCCATGTTTGAGTTTCACATGATGGGTTATGGCAATTTGGGGCCATTTCTGGCATTTGCTTTCTTCCACTCCATCTTTTTCTGTACTGTTACTCTTCTGAATGCTGCTACAGCTTCTGGGATCGATGGCAACGAGACGAATTGCCAGGCCTTGCTCCACCTCAAGTCCATGATCTCTAGCGACCCACTCGGGGCTCTGAGCTCGTGAAACGATTCCGCTCATTTCTGCCATTGGAATGGTGTTACTTGCAGCACAAGCCACCAGAGAGTTACAATACTCTACTTGTGATCGATGCAGCTCTCAGGCTCCATATCCCCATAAGTTGGCAATCTCAGCTTCCTGAGAGATCTCTACCTTTCCAACAACAGCTTGATTGGAGAGATTCCTCCCCAGCTCGGCCGTCTCCACAGGTTCGAGAATCTCTATCTCCTCAACAACTCCTTCACTGGCCGAATCTCGTGGTGTTCAACGCATTCAGCAACCGTCTGGTTGGCGAAATGCCACCGGAGATGGGATCGTTGAACAATCTACAGAACTTTGTCACCAACTCCACAACTTGAGAGGAAACATCCCTGCTTCATTTGGGAACATGTCCTCTCTCAAGATACTCTCGGTGACCGGCAATTTCTTGAGTGGCAAGGTACCTAGTACTCTAGGAGAGTTGAAGAGCCTCTCCGTTTTGACCTTGTCAAAGAACTATTTCTCCGGTGGAATCCCTTCATCGATCTTCAATCTGTCTTATCTCACTCACGTGTACTTAGGATTGAACCAGTTCCATGGAAGTCTTCCGCCGGATATGGGAATCTCGCTCCCCAATCTCCAGAGCTTTGACGTCGCTCTCAATTATGATGAGGGTATTTTTTGGTATTGGGCTTTTGGGTATTTTTTGGTTGGGCTAGGGTGTTTTTTTCTTTTGGTTCAAGTTTTCCTTTTGTGATTGGGAAGGGGTAGCCGAATAGGGGTAGGACTAGGTAATTATTAGGCTTTTCTAAGCCTATAAATATGTACCTTTGGCATTAGTTCTGTATCAATCAATAAAGTTAAGGTTTATCGACACCAACGTCGTTCTCTCGCTCGTGAGTTTCGAGCAAATCCCTAGAACAGAGGGAATCTGTTCATCAATTGGTATCAGAGCCTGGTTCCAAATTCGTTCGGGGCCAGATCGCAATGGGTACGGGCACAGAAGCAGAACGATGCTCAGCAATGGAAGCTGCGGTGGAGGACTTGCAAGCCCTAGCACAGAACACTGCGGCGGGCCAAGAGGAGGTACGGGGGCAGGTAGCCGAGATCTTGGAGACGTTGAAGTCTCTGGTGGCCAAGGTGGAGGCATTGACACCGCAACGGGAGGGGAAGAAGACCGTAATGGTTTCGTCGGCTGGAGAAGAGAGCTCGGAGGAAGGGGACGAGGAGAAGAGCGGCGCAGAGGAGAAGGAGGGAGAGAAAAGCACGACTGGGATGAGAATAGGGGAGAGGAGCTGGAACCGGTTGAAGATAGACGGCTGCACTGGTTTTCGTACGGGGCGGGGAAGCTTCAGCGGCAAGCCAGCTGGCAAAGGGAGTGGTCGCACTAGTGGCGGGGGCGGGTTTCTGGCAAAGCTCGCGCGGCTTGAATTTCCCAAGTTTGCAAGGGATGATCCTGGATCATGGTTTCCTCGCGTCGAGCAATTCTTCGAGTATCAGGAGGTCCTAGAGGATCAAAAGGTACCACTAGCTGCATTTCATCTAGAGGGAGAGGAGAACCAGTGGTGGCAATGGCTGAAGCGCACCTACAAGGACACTAGAGAGCCGATTTCGTGGGGGGCTGTTCTCGCAGGAGCTGTGGGCGAGGTTCGGTCCGACTGAAGGAGAGAGCTGTGACGAAGCCCTGTCACGGATTCGTCAGACTGGGACCCTGCGCGATTACCAGAAGGAGTTCGAGAAATTGGCTAATCGCTGCGTCGGCTGGACGCAACAGGCATTGGTAGGCACTTATTTGGAAGGTTTGAAATCGGAGATCGCGGATGAGATCCGAATGTTTTGACCCCAGTCTTTGCGCGACGCCATTAGCTTGGCCAGGATGAAAAACGATCAAATCCAACGCAGTAAGCCGGCTAGTCGCGCGTTGTAGTTTGCCGGAGGAGGAGGGCCGACGGGCACTGGTGGAGGTGGCCCTACCGACGGAGGAGGTGGCTTTAATCCGAGAACTGCAAGCTCGGGATTCCAAGGAGGAGGAGGACCACCCCGTGGGCCGCCAGGAGGGAAGAGATTGAGCTGGGAAGAGCAGCAGCTGCGAAGAGCTCAAGGTCTCCTTCAACTGCGACGAGTGATTCACTATTGGTCACAAGTGCAGTAATGCTACGGTGATGTGCTTGTTTGAGGAAGAAGAAGGCGAGGGTCAACCTTGGGGACAAGGTTGATTTCAAGGGGGGAGGATTGATGAGGGTATTTTTCAGTATTGGGCTTTTGGGTATTTTTCGGTTGGGCTAGGGTGTTTTTTCCTTTTGGGTCAAGTTTTCCTTTTGTGTTTGGGAAGGGGTAATCGAATAGGGGTAGGACTAGGTAAGTATTAGGATTTTCTAAGCCTATAAATATGTACCTTTGGCATTAGTTACTTATCATTCAATAAAGTTAAGGTTTATCGACACCAACGTCGTTCTCTCGCTCGTGAGTTCCGAGCAAAACCCTAGAACGGAGGGAATCTTTTCATCAAATTACTTGACCGACAAGCTACCTGTTTCGTTCTCCAATGTCTCGAATCTCGAGCAGCTTCAGCTATAGGGGAATGACTTCATAGGTGGAATGGCTAGCTTAGGGAGAGCTCGAAACCTTTTTGGCTTTTTCGCTTGATCATCAACAACACCTTAGGCAGTGGTGGTGGAGAAGATGATTTGAGCTTCATTTCTTCTCTTGCCAATGCCACCAATTTGCAGGCCTAGATCATAGACTAGAACAACTTTGGTGGTCGATTGTCGGTTGATATTGGGAACTTGTTAGCGCTGCAGATTCTCTACATCAACAAGAATCAACTATCTGGGGAGTTGACTATGGGGATACATAGTCTTAGTAACTTGCATACCCTCGTGGCATTCGATAACGGTTTCTCAGGTACCATTTCGTCCACCATTGGAAAGATTCACAACTTAGAAAAGCTGGATTTGAGTATAACAGCTTCATAGGGAATGTGCCATCGTCGATCGGAAGCTTAACAAGGTTGCTCGAAGTGAAATTAGCAAGTAACTATCTCCAGGTAGAGATTCCTTCTACGATTGGAGAGTGCCAAAACTGGATTACTTTGGACCTTTCTCGTAACAACTTCAGTGGTTTGATTCCTCCACAAGTTATGGGTCTGTTTTTTTATCGATTTTCCTGAACTTGTCTCGTGATCAGCTGACCGGTTCAGTCCCAGTTGAAGTGGGGATTCAAAAAAAAAAAAAAACTTGGGTGGTTTGGATCTATCTCATAATGATTTGTCAGGCAGCATTGCAAGTACTCTTAGCAGCTGTGTGAGATTGGAGTCACTGAAATTGCAAGGAAATCGTCTGCAAGGAACCATTCCTTCTTCTCTTAGTTCCTTGAGAGGCATTCACCAACTGGATGTCTCGAATAACAATTATCGGTTCGAATTCCAGAGCTTTTCGGAGGTATGAATTTGTTACAGATGTTGAATCTGTCGTATTGCAGTTTTGAGGGTGAATTGTCAACAAACGGAGTCTACAGAAATGGCAGTGTGGTTTCCGTGGTTGGAAATGACAAACTCTGTGGTGGTATGACTATTTAATCTTCCACCTTGTAACTTGAGACCACGAAATGAAGCATCGAGTCGTTCGTTGAAGATTGTTATATCAACAATCTGCAGCATGCTCGTTTTGAATTTCATGGGTTCTTGCTATTAATCGGAACAGAATTTAATCGAAACAAAAGAAGAAATCAGAACAAGACGGATTTACGTGGTTTCCTTGTTCGATGTGAGCGAACAAGACTAGTCCACGGAAAAGGGAGTTCAATTTCTTATTATCATCATGTAGTAGAGCTGCTGTACATATATACATACATTTCGGCTATCATCTCTTAACCCTAGCGAGATTAGTGTTGATTATGACGTTAATTGAGCTTAATGGGCCGAGGCCTCCATGGAATCGGCCACGGCCCTTTAACGAGGTACCCCATATCTCAGCACCCTCCCCCAAATTGATGGGGAGATCTCATCATCAATTTGCCCCCAAAAAATGAGTGTCGTGCCGTAGAGAAAACCTTGGTCAACAAATCTGCAAGTTGATCTTCAGATGAGATGTAGAAAATGCGAATCGTACCATCCTGGACAAGGTTACGAATGTAGTGGACATGGACTTCGATGTGTTTGGTGCGATCATGCATAAGCGGATTGGTAGCCATCCTAATAGCGCTCGTATTGTCCACATAAAGCTCCATAGGTACAACACACTCCACGCCAAGATCCCGTAATAGGCGTTGTAACCATTCCAGCTCGGAAGTGACATCAGACATGGCACGATACTCTGCGTCGGTTGTTGACTTAGAAACACGATCCTGCTTCTTGCATCTCCAGGAAATGACAGACTTGCCAAGGCGAACACACTAGCCAGTAGTAGAGCGGCGAGTGTCAACATAGCCAGCATAGTCAGAGTCAGAAAAGGCCTACAAAACAAGAGAGTCAGAAGAAGGAAGAAATAGGCCAACGTCTCTTGTACCCTGGAGGTACCGGAGAATCCGATGGGCAACTGCCAAGTGGTCAGCACGAGGTGCCATCATAAACTGAGCAACAATCTGAACAACGTATGCGATATCCGGTTTGGTAGATGCCAAATAAATAAGACTACCAACAAGACTGCGATACTGCTGCCCACCATCAGCCAATAGATCACCGGAATCCTTGCCCAACTTAAGGTTGAGCTCTATCGGAGTCGTCAAGGGAGCATAGTCACTATAATGAGCCAAATCCAAAGGATCATCAATATATTTCCGCTGACTGAGCATTATACCAGAGCGGGATCGGGTAACCTCAAGGCCGAGGTAGTATGAAAGAGACCCCATCTCCTTAAGATTAAAAGAGTCGTGTAACCCCTTTGTCAGAGCAGAGATACCAGCCGCATCGTCACCGGTGACAATCATATCATCCACATAGAGAAGAAGAACCACGATGCCAGAGGAAGTGCGACGTGTGAATAGCGAATGATCATTGAGACTCTGAGTAAACTCGAGGCCCAGAATGGTGGACTGAAACTTGTCGAATCACGCCCGTGGCGCCTGCTTCAACCCATAAAGAGAACAGCGCAATAAACACACCTGATCAGAGTCACCAACTGGATAGCCAGGAGGAGGCTCAATGTAGACAGTCTCCTTGAGTTCCCCGTGAAGAAAAGCATTCTTCACATCAAGTTGATACAAAGGCCAGCCGTGTAGAGAGGCCACCGCCAGAAGAGAGCGAACAGTGACCATCTTGGACATCGGAGCAAAAGTCTCATCAATATCCACACTGTATTCCTAAGTGAACCCTTGTGAAACCACCCGCGCCTTGAACCTCTCAATGGTACCATCAGGATGAACCTTAATAGCATAAACCCACTTACTGCCGACAACCGGAATCTCAGGAGGAGGTCGGGCAACCATATCCCAAGTGTGGTTCACGTGAAGAGCAACAAATTCTTCCTTCATAGCACCGTCCCATTGTGGATCATCCTTGGCCTGTGAAGCGGGGACAGGAATGGGAGTCACCTGAAAAGAGACATAGTCATGAAGATAAGCTAGCAGTTGACCGACGGGGAATAACAGCTGGTGGAGACGAAGCAGGAGAGGATTCCGGCAAGCTGGCTGCAAAAGAGGAAGAAGAGGACGACGCCGAGGAGGTTGGGTCGGGAGACGGTGACGGACTGGGCACATGGGCATCAACCATCATCATCATCATAAAAGGAAGGGAGACTCAATGAGGTATAAAAAGATGGG